TCAGCGAAGTGGACGTAGTTACTATACGCTTGTCCGCGTTGACAACGCCAAGAAAGCTTGGCTAGTCCTCCCAAAAGCCTCCAGTTGTCAAGCCCCCACCCCGGCCAAAAGTCCCGACATCCTACACCGATCCTTCCCGTTCGGCCTACTCAGTACATGGAATGCTCTACCCTCTGCCATCCTGAACGCTCCTTCAGCCAAGGCAGCACTGCAACGCTTCAAAGTAGCAGTGTACAAGTACCTCCTCGAACAAACTTGCCGTACTGCTGCCGATGTGTACACCACAAACTCGCATACTACCTGATGGCCTTACTCTTTCCTCTTTCTTTCTTTTGTACCCCCCCTTCCCTGGTGCGCATTGTGCGCAAGGATACCAAGACCTTTGGTCGGAGGAGCGCCCCACAACGCCCCACCTACACAGCTGCGTTAGTGGATAATAGTAGTCAGCGCCGATGATAGCAAAGGGTGGGGTGTCAAGAAGGAAATAAATAAGAATTGCCTTTGCCAACTGTTGATCCATACAGAACGTACGGCTTGCCAAAAGCATTTGACTGATAGAAAACGGTCACCCGATCACGGAAAAATCATGAAGCTCCTGCCGAAGCGGCCACTTCAAACACTCTCATCTGAAGTACAGCATTCAACTGGGAAACGCATGGTGCACACTTGAGTGTCATCTGCTGAGACATAACAGTTAATAACGTGACAATGTTGTCTAACTACTATTCGAAGCATGTCTCAGTAACTTGTCGGTTTTGTGCCCTGATATGGCACCTTCTGATAGCTTTTTATCTTGTTGCAGCCGTGGATAGTTGCTTCATAACTCGTGTCCATGTGATTTCTTCTATTTTAAAAATTATATGTTTTTTTAGAACACGGAGGCTCCACTGCAGCCAATTCATATCATGCGCACCCCTCTCAGGCATCTGCAGCGTCTGACTCTGACCTGGCTGTTGCGGGTGCCTATCGTGGTGGTGTGGGGTTGGATTCCAATTCATCCGCCCGCCATGTATACTTTACAGTACAGTACATTACGTACCTTGTGTGGACCAGTGGCATTGAGCTCTGGCCCGATCGCTTCTGGCTCCTCAGGCGCCTCTGTCGAACCGTTGTTGTCGTGTCCTGGTCCGACAATCTCCGGTATTCCTAACATGACTCAAACTTCGAACACGGGACATGTTCCTTTCGCCTCGGATGTGCCTCTTCCAGCAGCAGTAACAGCAGCGTCTAGTGACCAACTTCCATCACTGATAATAATAATTATTTTCCTGACCCACTCGTGCCTGACCAAAACCTGTATAATGACGTCCGCCTGAAGAAACTAGCTGCAACAGATAGACAGGCCCCATCCTCACGGAGGGAGGATGAGAAAGGCCTTCGCCGTTTGAAAGAGGACCTGTCCTCTATGTATCGACGTGAGAGCAAACGCGCCCGCGCCACAAGTGACTCTGCAACACAGAAGAAACTTTCGAAATCCAATTTGAATCTTTAAAGGCGTTGAAGAACAACCCCGAAGTAGTTGTGAAGCCTTCTGACAAAGAAAAGGGGTTTGTTGTTATGTCCGCAGAAAATCATCAGGCAAAGTTTAATAATAATATTATGCTTAATCGCCCAGCTGATTATGAACCTTCAACAGTCAAGATTAATGCGTTGGACAGTGAGTGTCGTCAGACACTAAAGGGCTGTATAAAGGACAAATTACCTGAGAAACTAGAGAAAGATATGTACCCACACTACTCGCGCATGGCTTCCTAAAGATCATAAACCAGGAATGCCACTGCGTCCAGTAGTGTCAAGATGCGACAGCCCAACGAGCAACATGTCCCTCCTGGTAGAGCGCATATTAAATCAGTTGCTGCGTTTTGTGCCTGCACATTTGAGAGATACCAAACAATGCACCGACGATCTCCGCACACATCAGAAAATACCGGAAAATTGTATTGTTGCGTCGATGGATGTGGTCGCACTACATAGCAATGATCCTATCCAAGAAAGTATCGACGTTGCGATGGAGGCTCTCAAAAGCCATAGAGATGAAATTGACGTGTTCTAGCTTCAGCAATCCGATGTCCGGAAAATGCTGGAATACGCTCTTACGTCTAATTACTTCCAGTTTGAGGATGAGCAATATCGACAAGTCAGGGGCATTGCCATGGGCAATCACCTTGCTCCGCCGTTTGCTATATCATTCAGGTCTCAATTGGAGGAGAGGGCATTAGCGGAGTACCATCCTGAACCTCTCATGTACAGGCGATACATCGACTCGAACCCGGGACCTTGCTTGTCATGAGCAATGCTCTAACCACTGAGCTATGGGACCAGGCTGACCCTAGAAGGCGCTGACGAGTTTTTCACTCGAAAGGCATCTCACAACACGTGCCACACACACAGACGGCACTTGGGTCTTTTCTCTCCCCCAGGGGACCAACCACGGTCAGCTTCTGGAACGTAACTCCAGAGGTGAAAGAAAGCGATTAATTTTGAAAGGATTGGGAGAAATTCAAATTCAAGGGATCAGTGGTTAGAGCATATTTCATGATAAGCAAGGTCCCGGGTTCGAATCCTGGTGGGTCTGGCGTTTTTTCTCTTTTCAGCTAGTTCACTTCCCCCGACTGACCCTTTGAATTTGAAGTTCTCCCAATCCTTTCAATAGTTACCTACAATCGTGTTTAATATCCATATGATGTGTGGCGCCACCTTTGGCTGCTGGATGCTAGTCCAGTGGGTGCCACTCTCCAACCTTCGGCCGAGTGCTGGTGGAAAATAAGAATAAACTCGCATAATTATAGCGAATTTGGTTATAATTATAGCGAACCCTTGTCCATGTCCAGTTTTAAACCCACAGGGTACGTGCATTTCTGCTATAACACACTTCGGCTGAAAATTTTAGTTCTCCTGCATAATAGTGTTCGTTAAATCAGGACTCGACTTTGGTATAAGAGTGGTGAAAGAGGCAGACGTATGATAACGGCAATATGATTATATGGCTGGTACACATTTTTAAAAAACAACTACAATTACTCACAAATTTGTCAATTTCGTCCCAATGGCGCCACGGCTGTAGTCCAAAAACGAAATTCTTAGAAAGAAGATCAGTAGCCTCTATTTCTTTCCACTGCGATGTGAGCTTTGTTGAGATGTGCGCGGTACCTTTAGGGCAGCCGTGTGTTGATTTCATGGATAGGAAATTCGGAGAAAG